TCTGGGGTCATTTGGGTGGATTTGACCTATCTCTGCCCCCCCTTGCTCGATTTGGATCGTTGACACACCTTTCTGACCGTTAGAGCCAATAGAATCGAAGGGGGAGGCCCACATACACACTCATTGTAAAGAGAAAAGGTGGGGGCTGCGCGTCTGGAAATGAAAGCAGATTGGGAGATTCTCTCCTTCTGGAGTTTGGAAACTAAAAAGCAGTTTTATTGCTTATGGATTATCAGAAATAATTTCAAAGAAGGCACAGATACATAGGATGAACCTATGGATTAACTGCAGCATCGTTTTTCTATAGTTTTTCTACATCCGTCACACTTAGCGCTTTCACACCGGAGTACTTTTCCCCCCGAACTAGGCCGATAGGGGGGGGGATATTTGGTTTCACACCAAAAAGTATCTGGGCCTAGTCCCTAGTTCGTGCTGTGGTGGAACATTACGGGACATAATTCACGTGGTATATAGTGTGTGTTGCACCACGGACCTGTTAGAGAGTGTATCTTGTTGTAAAAATTAAGAAAATGACAGAACTGAATCTTTTTTTTTGTTTTTACAAACTTTATTGGAATGTTGCAAGCATTACACTCTTTTCATACATTCAATTAGTGCAAAAAGATTCTGTCTGTCTGTATAAATATAAAAAATGTTTATCAACTTTTCAATCTGTTGAATACTATGCATGTAGATGAAAACTTGAACAGGAAATATAATGTTCTTTATCTCGAGCAGCATGGTAAGGTGAGAAAGTTAGCTACAGTTCTGTCATTTTCTTCATTTTTCTAATGCAAAAAGTGAGGAAAAGTGTTGTTTTTGCCTTATTTCATTGTTTGAACTCCTAATGTCATGTTTACCAGTGTTCTTTTACCAAAAGTTTGGTAACACTTTATATTAAGGTACACAAATTAACCATCAACTAGTTGTTAATTAACATGCATATTAGCAGTATATTGGCTCTTTATTAGTCATTATAAAACACTTATTAATGCCTTATTCTGCATGACCATATTCTACAAGTAATAAGCCATTAGTTGAGAGTTTTTCCTCAATAACCCTCTAATTAGTGCTTATTTATTGCAAGTAAGGAAGTTGTTGTAGGCCTACATGAGTTTTGGTCTTAATATGCTCTGCTCAATATGGACCTAATAAGGCAGTAGTACCACAAGAATAGTAATTCTACCATAATAACACTTATTAACAAGACATGAAACTATAAGTGTTAATTGTGTCTAAATAATTCAAAATTAGGTATTTATATCTAAGAATATGTTTTGGGGTATTGACAGTTCAGCTACCTATAGCAAGGTGATATTGACCTGTATGTTTCATATTTGCACATTTATATATTTGTAAAATTTGTACTGAAGGTTAGACAGGAAACCGGGTAGGCCTACAGGAAGTAGGAGAAAGTGAACTGAATAGCATGGCAGTAGACATCCATGAGTAGACTGCTACTAATTTTCCCTTTGCAACCTGAAGAGTAAAAGGGTCAAGTCCGTCCGAAAGCAATGACTGTAAGTGTAAGCCTTACACTTACACTGTAAGGATTAGTAACATGTATTGTGTTTATGTGATGACATTTGGAGATGTTTAAACGGTTTAAACACAATGAGAAAATGTATTAGCATTCGCGCTAGTGTTAGCATACACGGTAGCGTTAGCATACATGCTAGCGTTAGCCATACTAGCCTGTACACATGCTTATTGCACAGCTAGCATTAGCTATATTTACCTTGTTTACACTTAGTGGTCCTATGTGTTAATATGTGTATGTTACACTTGCATGTATGAGATCATTAAGTGCCTTGTAACTTATTTTTGTATAGTTTCACTCCGTTTGAATGTCAGTGGACTGCAAATAATTCAATAAAGGAGCATGGCTGCTCATTCCCTGGCTCTCAAAAGAGTTTGGCTGGCTGTTTAATCTATGTTCACACTGAGACAGTACAACACATAGAGAGAACAGTACACCTATTGTGTAAGTGCATACAAGCAGGTCACACAGTATGATCACAAATACATACAAATCTTATTAAAAAGTACAGGCTGCATATGTGTTCTCAGCCTTGGAGAAACTTGACATGTTTTGGTACATGTGTCTGAGCCTCTCTTTAGTGGATCATTAATAAAACAGATATTTCAACATGTGCCTACTTTGTTCATGTACTGTTGAGGTTAATTTCAGTAGTTGTGTGCTATAATGTATTTACAAAGTGTGAAGAGGAGGCAACTTTAGAATAGGGAACATGTTCAGGTCAATTAGAGTCAAACTAATAGCTTATTGATTATGAACAAGACTTCACTTTAAAATAGGGAACATATTCTTAGATAGAAATACCTAATTAGAGTCAAACTACTAGCTTATTGGTTATGAACAAGACTTCACTTTCAAATAGTGTTGGCTGAAAGCCCCCCCCTCCGCAACGCGCCGTTCGTTAGATGAGGCTGGTTATATTTAATAAAGAAAGGAATTGAAAACACCGGAATTAAAGGTTATAACAATAATCTGAGTTTACTGGTAAGAAACAAAACACGTATACAAGTTTTACAGAGTACTCCGGACTTCAGGTTTCCACTGCTGTATCGGGTATCGGGACCAGCCAGTCAGCAAACAAGAAGCATTTTACATGCATAAACAACAGTATTCATATTCATATTTTGGGGCGGAGATGTGTTGACTTCTTCCTTCCCATTTTACTCCGAAGCTAATCAGAGAGTCCGTGGGGAGGAGCTGTGTGAGCTGCTCACTCCCCCAGGTGTTTTTACTGGTTGGATTCACTTCTGGTCGGGTCCAATACAGCGAATCAGAGTTCTGACCAGAACGTGAGATTCTGAAGTTCAACAGGGGCAAAGTCAATCTTATCTCTGCACCGATATTTACTCCCTTACTTTCCCATGGAATATTTCACATAAACTATTCTTTCTCAGACAATTAAACATTGTGCACAGATATAATGATGCCCAGAAAGAACCTTGAAAAGAATATGTGTGTGTGTGCTGGTGGGAGGAGGTGCATGTGTGTGTAACAGGATCTCTGGGTCAGTGAGTTGTAAGTGAGAATACAATATCTATATATGTGATTACTTAAAACAGTTCAAACAATACATGTTCACTAAAATACAATTCAAAATAATACATGTTTACTTCAATACAGTTTAGAACCATATCTGTTTACTTCAATAGGGAACATATTCTTAGATAGAAATACCTAATTAGGAGTCAAACTACTAGCTTATTGGTTATGAACAAGACTTCACTTTCAAATAGGGAACATATTCTTAGATAGAAATACCTCATTTTGAGTTATTTAGACACAATTAACACTTATAGTTTCATGTCTTGTTACATAAGAAGAGATCATATTTGTTAAGTGTTATTATGGGAGAGTTACTATTCTTGTGCTACTACTGCCTTATTAGGCCCATATTGAGCAGAGCATATTAAGACCAAAACTCATGTACAACAACTTCCTTACTTGCAATAAATAAGCACTAATTAGAGGGTTATTGAGGAAAAACTCTCAACTAATGGCTTATTACTTGTAGAATATGGTCATGTAGAATAAGGCATTAATAAGTGTTTTATAATGACTAAGAAAGAGCCAATATACTGTTAATATGCATGTTAATTAACAACTAGTTGATGGTTAATTTGTGTACCTTAATATAAAGTGTTACCAAAAGTTTTTATATATGTTAGTGTTGACATGAAATGTTAAGCTATAGATGTAAATGTGAAAACACACATTTCATTTGACTGAATATTGACACAAATACTGAGATACTTCAGGCTAGCTATTTGATACAAACTATTTAAGTGAATGGGTCGTACGTTATTGCCTTTGCATTCTTTAAAGCAGCCTAGCTTCCTAGCAACATGATCAAAAGCATTTTGCCTGTTTTATTAGGCTAACTTTCCCTAGCAAGTGAATGCAAGCCAGGGCAAGCTTACAGCCTGCGATAAACTTCTTTTTATCATTTCAAGTATCTGAATGTAGTTTTTGTTGCCTACAGAACAGGAGGCAATGGCCAGACAGAGCAGAATGAGTGAGCTGTGTCAGATAGATGATCTGGCCACCGGTTTGGTCCTTGACCCTCTACTTGGCTTCAGAACATATCAAATGAACATCATTCATCCACCAGCGATACAGTGTTGGGATAATCTCAAAAATATCCACGGCGAATTTCAGCGTACGCATGACTTCAAAACAACATTTGAGGCAATGACTGGGCGAACTGGCTGGTCAATATTTGAAGTCTCTGGGAAGCCATCGTCAGGAGCTACTGAGGCAACATGGAGCAAAGGTCACCTCTACAAGGCAATGATTTGCAGGGCAGCATGTACGTGTCCTGCAGGGCTGCATGGCAGATTTGAGTCCTGCAGACAAAGCGTTGCTGAGAACAGGAGTCAATAGGCGCGTTCACACCGGAGTACTTTTCCCACAATAGTTCATCAGAACTACGATATATTTGCGTTCACACCAAAAAGCCCCAGGAACTAAAGTAGTTCAAATTAGTTCATCTGACCCGCTTTCTAGCAGGGACTGTCGTGGGAGAAGATAGTTCATACGTCTGATTGGCTGTGCGGAATGCAAACCACGCCCCGTTTAACTCTGAATTTCTTTTTGGAGCGGCCATTGTATTTGCTGGCATTATTAGCCCAGCGCACCAACGAGAGTACTTTTGTGAAAGCAGTTATTATGGCAACAATAAGAATACGAAAATCATCGGAGCGGTGGAGTGATGAGGATGTGTCGGCACGTCTGGTGATTTACTCTGAGGATGGGATCCAGCAGCTTCTACTGAAGGCAGTTTCCAACTGCAAAATGTATCAGCGTTGTTCGGTAAAGTTAGCCGACATGGGAATCTTCCACAGCGCACACTCATGCCGGGACAAAATAAAGAAACTAAAAGCAGGACTACAAACAAATAAAAGACTATAATAACAAGAGTGGTAAAGGCCGGAAAACCCGTAAATGGTATGATCGATTGGATGCTCTGCTCGGCGACAGACCCTCATTCTCCGGCACTTGTGGTGAAACGGCGGATTCAGTGGCCTGTGAATTGTCCAACGACGACTACTACGAAGGTAAAATAAACTACATGCACTGCACTGTTTTAATCTGCACAATACTGGTCTCAGATGTACTTTTATTTGCTCAGTAGATCGAGCTAGCCATGCTAGCCAGTTCAGCCTAGCATAGCTAATAACATCATTCTCGGCCGCTATGAAAACGTTTTTGACTTGTGAATAAGTGTGTAATGTTTTCTGTAATTTGCTTCACTAACTCATGGCACTAATCGTGTGTTTCAGGCGAGGCAGGACAACTCTCTGGATTGGAAACAAGTGAGCTTTCCCCTCCGGATCACAACAGCAGCACTTTCTCGTCTCCTTTTCAACCATCCAAACGCAAAAGTACGTACAAACACACTGTAACTACTCTGGTCTTGAAAGAACGTTACGCATCGAACTGATGTACACTAATCACGTTTATTTCCTTCTTGGTACAATTATGAAACACCGTGAAAATACATCGTTTACACTTTTAGCGCCCTTTTCACTCTCATAAACATCCGGGCTAGAGGTCACATGACTGCCGGTAAGAAAACTTATCATTTTTGGACAAAGTTCAAGCGTACATTAAGCACTCTAAACAAATATAAAACAATAAATAAGGGCACTTTGAGCGTCAGCTATTTGATGCTATCTTATCTTCTACTTTACACCTGCATTTTGTACACTGTCCCTGTCAGCACCATGTCCAATGTTGTCTCTGTTGACAATTAAACTGATCTTGTATCTTGCTTATTTCTCCTTAGGAAAGCGGGCACGGGATGACAGCTTCCTTGACACCATCATGGCGATGGACTGCCGTGCCATGGTCAGCAAGGAGAATGAGGACCTGCGTGCCAAGGAGATGCACGACAAACGGCTGCTGCATTCACACAAGGCCCAGGAATCGGACGACCTGCTGCTCATGGTGATGGCGCGCCAGGTGGAGCAACAAAATACCTTTCAGGCTGGGCTTCTGGCAGTGCTAAGCGAGCTGATTAAATCCAACAGGCCTTCAATACAAAAATTAAGAAAAACTTGTCGTCGTTGATAAACTGTTGCGTTGGTGTTCGGATCAGGGGAGCACAGGTTCAAACCCCACTGCAGTCAGGATGTCGTTGTCTTTACAGTGACCTGTGTAGCATCCTATACATCACATGTAAGTGATTATACTGATACCATCATGTTTTCATCGGTTATAAACTGGCGAAGCTTTATTTATTGTGTCCCACCCCAAATATGTGGCTTTGAAAAAGATAATTTCATTGTATTTCAAAATAGCGTCCATCAACACAAACACTATTTATAGAAAGAGAAATGGTTAAGTTTGTAATTACCAGTGTTGTGAGTTCAATATTTTTAATTAATTATAGTAAGGGAACATCTTAGGAGTTAGTGTACTGAGTTCCTCTCAGGAGGATATATAATAAAGGTGTGTTAACTGCTGAGCCTATTTACTGTGCAATACTTTTTTCCATAATCACAGTTTTATTCATTTAGATTATTATGGACCTCTAAAACACATCTGCCACATCATTTGAGTTTTGACATACCACAACCAGCCAGCCAGTCTTAACTTTCATTGTTATCCTAACCCTCATAGAGAAAGAGATACAGACATGTGGTGTGTTGTCTTTTTTCACCTGTATGGTGCGGTTCTGGGCGACAACACACAGTGAAGATGATCTGCTGCACGGCACTAGCATCATGACTGTCTTTGTTTAAACCAGCAGCAGTGCAGCGGTACACAGACTAACCTGTGTGTGTGTAACGTAGTTCTTCAGGTGTGTATGCTTAACATGTATGTATTTATCACAGTAAAGATGGTATACAAAAGCTTTTTAAAGAGCTTTCAACCTTATCCCATTGTCTTTAACATAATAATATACTCTTATTAATATACAAATATACAGTATGAGTACTGTTTTGATACTGACATTTTATCTTTGCACTAAGGTGTGTCTGCACTATTGTAATTGTGTCTGTTGACTGTGGTAAATAAAAGAGAGAACCAAATGCACTGTACAAAAGATCAGCTTTATTGTCAATTTACAATTTCCATGCTGTTCAGATGCCTCATAAGGGCTGTGCGCGTGTCTTGCCCCCCGGTGATTTTTTTAGGCACGGGTACACACTCCCTGTAGTTGGTGTTGCGTCTCCCCAACGTTGCTTCCAGGCGAATACAGAGGAGTTGAAAAGAGCCCTTGGACATTCGGAAATCTTTGATCCACTGCACATTGGTGTACGTTGGCACCACCTTCTCCCACCAGGCCGATGTTCTATTGTTCACCCAGAGAGAGCGCGGGACACGACGCGTTCCGTAGTATTCGCATATCTGGAACACATACAAAGACACAAATTAGCCCTACATAACTCCATAAATCCTACATTAGATAGTATTAATGTGATTTACTGAACGTACCATTGCTGTTCTTTGGGCGTGATAACGGTCATCATCCTCAGCTGTCCTACATGTCCATAGCGTGTGCTTTTCGTCGTCCAATCCTTTTGTTAAGGCTTCTTAACCGCCTTCGCCGACTCAGCATTTCTATTGCATTTGAATGGTCGATCTGTATTTGTATTTGTGGCTGAGTTATTGGCTGTATAACACGAGCACCAAAATGTCAACTCCATACCGTGTCTGAGGTCGGAAGGTAAACAGAAGCATACAGTGGAAGCGGACGTTTTTTTTCTTCTTCTTCTCTCGGTTTTTTGGCGGATTGCAACTTTAAGGTGCATACCGCCACCTACTGTACTCGCCGTGAAGTTGTTTGCGGCCTGCCAGTAAACCCAAAGCAGAAGAAGAAGAAGTGACGTCAGCGGCTCATTTGCCTAATCCACCCCCAGGAACTCATTTTGGTGTGAACGCGATCTGCTTTAGTTAATCAGAACTAAAAGAGTTCTCATGAACTAAAGTTCTCATGAACTATTGTGGGAAAAGTACTTGGTGTGAACGCGCCTAATGACTTCAGCTTAATGTATTCCAGCCGCAAACGCTGCACTCAGCTGTATCTTGGACCTGCAGCATTTATTAACCATGATTGCCAACCAAATTGCCAGTACCTTGCTGGTGAAAAGAGTATCACTTATATTGTAGTGATATGATGTTATGATCACTGTTACGAATCGCGGAAAAAGGTAGGACCCAAATGCAGACTAATGAAGCTCAGCGCAAGTTCAATCAGGAAGACCAAGCTCTTCATTCAGATTACACGTCACCACATTACACTCTCCTTACTCATTAAGTGATCGGGGGCGTCACTCCCCAGCTAACCAATCTCTCCTCTCCATTCTCACAAGCCTATCATAGCTCCCGCTAATCCCTTTTATATCTGCTCTTCCCTCTGCCAGCTGTCATTTCAGGTGACAACAACGCAATGGTAGCAACCTTACTACTCCTCGTTAAAACACCTTAAAGAAGAATAAACTCAAGATGTCCAATTTGGACGATTCCATTCACGAACCTTTCTCGGAGGTTCTCGATCCTGGCTCCGATGTACCGCTCGAGGTAGCTTCCATTTCCTCGAGCCAACGGCGCCAGAGCGCTCGCGTGGCTTCCCGCAGAGGCTCATGCACAGCCGAGGTAGACTTCCTCATCGCTCATCTCCTGCAGCAGGGCATTTCGCGAGCTGTCGGACCAAGTCTCCGGCGCGGTTCCCCAGACCGTGCCAGCAGCTTCAGTCAGCTCTTCCGGAAGACCAGGGCGAGGACGCGGCCGCGGAGGTAAAAAGTCTAGGAAGTCAAGCAGTCCAGGAGCCCGGCCGCCCAAAAAATCAACCCCTCCCCAGGCTCGCCAGCCCGGGAGCACCGCTAATCAGCCCCTCATGGATCATAGCTTAGCTAGCTCCCTGCAATCCCTGGCTAGCTCCATGCTACTAATCGACGCCCGCCTTCAGTCCATGGATAATATCTCTGCTGGAGCTTCAACTTCAGCTGCATGGGCAGTGCTTCCTGCCCCCGTGCCGCCGGGTCAGGTCGCTCCACTTTTACAAGTAGCTCCCTCTCATTTCCTGGCTTCTGCCCTCCCAGCTCCTCCTCCAGACATTCCGGAACCTCTGCCCAGAAGCCAGCTCGCAACCTGTCGGGATCCCTCCCCTTCATCTCCTCTCTCTCTTTTAAATGAGAGCCCCTTAGCCAGGCACCTCGAGTCCGCCAGATTCTTCATGAGGAAGGGCTTAGCCACTTCCACCCTTAAAACCTACGATTTTGCTTGGAGAATGTTCGCTTTTTTCTGCTCCTCTATAGGCATTTCTCTTAGACCCGTCCTCATCTCCACAGTGTGCGCCTTCATGTGCTACTGCACCACTGACCGGCACCTCAAACCTCAATACATCCGGGGCCTCCTAGCCGGAGTCCAATTTAATGTTCGCTGCGTCGATCCCAGCTTTCCGAGCTTATTTTCTAACCAAGCAGTTAAACTCATCCTAAAAGGCTTATATAAAACGTTCCCCCCCGCTGCAGACCGCAGACTACCTATTACGCTCTCTATCCTGCGCCTCATGCTTTCCAAACTCAGACAAGGTTTATTCTCCCCTTACATCGACGCTTTGCTCGATGCTTTATTTCTCCTAGCATTTTATGCTTTCCTCAGACCAGGCGAATTCGTCACAGCTTCCCTTACGTTCGATCCCAATCAAGATGTCTGTCTTTCCGACTTATCTTTTCACGCCAGCCACTTTAGCTTAAGCCTTAAACACTCCAAATGTGGAGGAGCTTGCTCCGTTATCGCGGCTCGCAATGACTCCCCGTTTTGCCCTCATAAATCCATGATTAAATTCTTGCACCTCAGATCTTCCACAAATCCGTCCTCACCACTATTTCTCATTAAAGGGAATGTTCCATTAACTCAGCGCTGGTTTAAATATTACCTTAAGCAAGTTCTCATTAAATCCAGCTTATCACCCCTTTTATACTCGGGGCATTCGTTCAGGATAGGTGCAGCCACCTCTGCTGCTAATCAAGGCCTTTCTCCTTCATCCCTGCAACAACTCGGACGGTGGTCCTCTTCTGCCTTCACATCCTACATTCGCCCGGACATCAGTGCCGTGCTGGCTACCCAAAGATCCCTCAAACCCTAACTCTGATCGCCGCAATCAGCTCACAAGCTCTCGATGGATCCTGCTGAACATTGTCAGAATGCCCCTCCACGCTGAACGGGCCCCACATCCTCGCGTGCGAAGCTTCACCTCATCTCCCGCTTCTCCTGCGCCCCGCCTCTACGTAACAACAGGCGTCAAGTGCAGGCTGCAAGAGGCAGTTTGCAACAAATTCATGAGGATTTCCGACATAGGTTATTGCTATCTTTAGTTTCAGGTTCAGGGTAAGGCAAATCTAGCTAGACTTGTCGCATCACGTAAGGTAAATACACGCCCACATTCAGCGCAGCACTACTATCTTATCATGCACCATTACAACAACAACAAAAAACTCTAAGGACGTGTACTGCACATGCTCCGTTTTGGGGGGGAATCTCGCAGGGAAGCGAGTCTCGAGCCCACTCTCTTCAGTAGTGACTCTTCCCTGCACGAGATCATCTGCATAGCGGCACGCTCATATTTCCACCATTGCTTACACATTTATCACACTCGTTGGATCTAACCTAGTGTCCCTCATCATTCTCTCTCAGGTGATAGAAGACAGTCTTAATCACCCATCAGCTTATCAGCACGGCGCTTAACTGCTAATTAAGCTAGACCTATATCATGGGTCACGTTTCAGTATTTAACTAAGCGCATGTCATTCATGCGTGCTTCCTGCACTTCATTCATATTATTGGCTCATGCTCACATGGCTTGTATTAAGCCTGG